ATTTTCTGAAGAAGGGTCTAGGCCCGAAACGTCAGACTTCCTGCTCCTCTGATGCTGCTTGGCCTGCTGTGTTCATCCAGCTCTACACTTGGTTATCTCAGATTCTCCAGCATCTGCAGTACCTACTATCTCCTTTTGGAATCACTACTTTCCCACGAGTGGGAATGGGAATTTATTCAGCAGTCATTAGATATGAGCTTTGTCATGAATTTTCATTGAGCCAAATGCTAGAGGTGGGGTCAAATATTCCACTTGCATAAACTCTGCCTTGTTTAAGAAATTTGGTTGACGATTCTATGCACTTTGAAAGAAAAAATGGTGAGAAATTGAAAGCATCTAAACTGGCCCACTGTTATCATGTGTCATCCTGCCTCCTATCAGATTCAGTGTAAAGCTGTCCGTGCACTGCATCTATATGATCTCCGAAGCTAAATGTGTCATTTAAAGGGCTGTAGACTATCTACAGCCTTCGAATTTCCAATTACTGACTTTGTAGTTTGTTTGGTTTCTGGTTATTTTTAAAAATTGTATTGATTTACTCCATCACAAAATAAAAAATTTAAGAGGACTGTGCTTCAAACAGATGGCTTGTAATCGCTTCAGAAGTAACTGTTTTTAATTACTCTTTTTTAAATCCGTTTCTTTCTATGAATAAGGACATGACCAAAGCATTCCTCTGCTCATTGTTTAGAGTTGTTGTTTTATGTATCATTATATTTGACCTACTTCTTTGGTTTGGGCACATGTCTCTTATAAGCCCATTAGAAAGACTTGCGTTCCCAATGCTGGGAGTGTGGGGAATGGATGCTTCCTTCCCTGCAACGCTGAGATTGCTTTCTGTATCTAGAATCTTATGTTGGGTTTGTCCATTGTTAATGGAAATTACACCAACGTAAGTAACACATTTTGATGGCAAAACTGTTGAGTTACTTGACAAGCCATTGAAAACAGCCAGCAAACTGTAAAATTGGCATACCTTCCTGCCTACTAGGCTTGCCAAGGACAGATTAGAGTGCTTCATGATGGAGAGTTGTTCTGATTTGTCTAAACACTGGGATTCTTCTTCCAAATCACTGTTTAATCTTCAAATGTTCAAATTTTAAGGTTTGCTTTTTGGAAAGAACTCCCTGTCCAGCATTGTAATGCAAGTGAATAGCAGCTTGTTAAACAAAGGCAGCTCTGTCTATTGTAGCATTTTTCCTTTTATTAAAATCTCTTGTAGCTGTTTTATGCTATTGAATGGCAGGCAAAATGCAAAGTTTAAAAAAAAAAAAAAAAATTGTTCTTTTCTCCCTCCAATGTTTTTATACCAATGACCTTTCTAATGCACTTTCTAGGACATGTAACTGGATGATGATCCAAGGCCTTTGGTAGGCAGCACCTGGACACTTCTGATTAAGATTTGAGTTAGCTATTGTGACTTCCAAAGTTTTTAATCTAACTTAGAAATGGAGGGCTACTGTAGTACAGTGTTGTGTCCCTACCTCTCAGCCAGGAGGACTAGGTCAAGTCTCACCTGTTCCAGAAGTAGGTGGTATCTCTGAGCAGGTTGTTTTTTGTTTTTTTTTGTTTTATGAAATGTGTAATAATTTAAAATGGTGAATATTAAGAGTGGCTAGTAGGGTGATGTGCCAGAGGCTGTTGTTGCTGGAGAATTATTACCTGTTTGGGAATGAGAAGAGTAAAAATTTAAGGAAGCAAGCATCCCTTTTAATTTTATTTTCTTTTGTCTATTTCAGCAAATCATGCGCACAGGGATGAAATATAACCTTGGCCTGGATTTGAGAACAGCTGCCTATGTCAACGCTATTGAGAAAGTCTTCAAGGTCTATAACGAGGCTGGTCTGACCTTCACATAGAGTGGGCACCGTCTCTCCTTTACAAACCCCCCTCTCAACCTTTCCCCAGCCTAACATGTCAAACGTTTACACGCAGAATTTTCTTTTCCTTTTTACTTTTTAAACCAATGGAACACTAATTCTCCAATAGAAGCTGCCAGAATTAGTGAATAGGTTAAACAATTAACATAACCCACAAGCCAATATTAAGGCTTACAGAAAATCTTTATGATCTCGCACTGCTGGCAAGTGGGAGCCATGTTACATTTACTTGAGAGGAGCTTTTCAATGCGTAGCATCCAATTTGTGGTCTCCAGCTAGCAACCCCTGCCCCCTTGGCAATATCATTAAATTGACAAATATGCTCAGGGGAGATTCTAAAGCCTGTTAGGTCATTTAGTTCCTGTGCATCAAAGGATTGCCATTTGTCTTTACTGAGTCCATTCTGTCCCAGGTGTCTCAAGGTTATCTGTAGCACTTCAGTCAAAATTCTATTGTTTTAGGCCTCTGTATCTGGCAGAAAAGAATCACATTCATTTGGGGTGGACAAATCCTAAACTTTTGCCAGAATGTTTTGTAATTGGTTTGCTATAATTTCATATTTAATTAGTTATTTCGACAAGCTAGCTATAATTAGCCAAAGTGCTCCTGGGCTTTGGAGACCTAATATTACACAGGTTCTCCTTCCTGATTTTGGTGTATTGACCTTGTTACAAAGTTTACTTGTGGATTTTGGATTAAAGATCAGGCTCTACTGTGACACCAACTATGGTGGGATAGTGTTAGGAGTCAGTGACTTCAGGAGCTTGAAGTGGAGAGGGTACATAATGTGTTAGATGGCACACGTGTACAGTAACAACTGGTCATGATCATGGTTAGGGTTCTATTTACATGAAATGCATCTAACTTCCATTCAGTGAAGCTGGCAAAAGAGTTACATGGAAGTGAGGATGAGAGGTTTGCAGATAAGCACAAAAATAATTTTTGTAGTGAAAGTCATGCTCTGCCAGTTTTTATTTTCCTTTGTCCATCTGTATGTGTAGCAAAGAAGTCAATGTTGTTCATACTGCTTTTACATTATAGCACAGTGACCTCACCCTTGTGGTTTCAGAGGAACAATGGGCAGTGCATTTAGGAACTCTGAAATAATCAGCCCATTAGTGGAAGCATTTAGTGCAGTCTCATACTGTACTATATGGACCTAATATGGATGTTTCTTTGGCATTAGGAGAGTGGACTACAGAAAACAAATGAAAACTGGCAATCATGACTTTCAAATAACTTGTGCAGCTACATATTTTTTGAATTAGTGCTATGGAATCCAGCCTCCATTATGAATAGGACAGAACACCCATAACCAGAAACGAAGACAAGTATGGAAACAACTTTATTAGTAAAACCATCTTTTTTATAAAAGCACTTTCTCTAGATAGAATATCCATTTACATTTGTAAAGTCAGAGGATATGATTTTCTTCTGTTTCTTTTATTTAAAACTTTATTTGAATGTTTCCTATGTGCTTTGGAGGTCAGACATGACTTCCTAACTTTGTGCAGCAATTAGGACCGTTTCCACATTGAATTCTGTCTGTCTTATTGGAAACCTACAGCTGTCTTTCATCAAAGTGCCCTTCAATCCTGCCTCAAACACTTTTTACATAGATGGAAAAGTTGATTTTTGTTTTTAATACAATCCCTTATTAGTAGTAACTGTGTCTGTATAGTAAACCCTGTAGAGTGGCTTCAAGTCTTCAACACAACCAAGTCAATTCAGAAATAGCACCTTCTAGCTATGTGGATGATATTGTATGTCCAATTTAGAACCATATTGCATTGATGGTTTTGTAGATTGCTCAGGCAAAACACCATAACAGCACCTAATCTTTTAAATTTGCCTGTTAGATTTGTGACGATGCACTTTCACAGCAGTAACCAGTTTTTGAGCTGCCCTGATCAGTTTGTTAAAGTGGACAGCTTAAAAACTGAAAACTGCAGGATACTGCTAATGCTGTCATCTTCTGCAGGGGTTTTATAGCAACTTTCCTCCACTTCTCTAGCTCAGACATTGTGGTGAATGTTCAGAATGGAATTGCATATGACAAAGGGAGACAAAAGAATGTTTCAGAATTCTATAGGATTAAGCATGTCAAATTTGTCTTTTTTTTTTGGCATTCGCCTTTCTGGGTGCAATCAAGTACCAGATGAACCCTTTTTAAGAATAATTTTGTTCTTTTCTACATTCTTTCTTTTGCGTGAAGGTAAATTGACAAATTATTAAACTCTTAATACTTCATTAGTGGTGCATGATCACTAAGTTTTCATGCATTAATCCCCCTTTTGCTTTGGTGACATTGTGCTGAAGTTAATAGTGCTTCCCAACTTCTCCATTTGTGGCCCACTGCTTTATAAGTCATTGGTTATCGAGCATTTCTGAGTCTATCTTCATCAAATTTGAGCCGGGTTCAACCAAAAACTCAGGTATATAACTTGTTAAAAGGGATGAAGTCATGTAATGGAAAGAACATGCATATGGGGCTTGGTCTTTATAACTTTAGTTGAAGACAAATGGAATATTTTTTGAAAGATATCCTATTCAAGGACTAACTGTGACAAACCTGAGAGGGATTAATAAAACAATAGCAAACATCACTGAAAATCAACTCCTTTAGAAAGCAAAATAGAACAGACCTCCACTCCAATTTCTCTTTTATTAAAGAGCAGGTGCAGAAGTTAAGTAGGAGATAGAAATTAACATAATTGTAGGTGCCAAATGAAATTTTTAAAAATCAGCTAAATCATCTAGAGAAGCAAGTTCCCTTAAGCATGTAAACTGGATTTAAAAGGATGAATTATCTAACATGTTAAAGGTTACTGTCTTTAAGGATTCATAAACGAAGCTGTGATTTTAAAATCACTTGATTGTATACTTGAGATAAGAATCCTAAACTTCCTCAAAACCAGAAAATCCCCAAGAACAAGATTAGAAATCAAAATGAGGCTATAAAGGTGCAATAATCATCAGCAGTGTGTGAATACACAGGAGGCCTGTGGATTGGAAATGAGCTACACTGTTAATTATATTAGAGAGGCAACAAAACCATCTGAGGAACTGTGGATTTCTCAATTAGTTTGGTCCCTGAGCCTCTGCACCAAAAATCAGTTTGCACGTGGTATTGCAGCTGCACGAACTGTAGCAGTTTGTGAACTTTCACATTGAAAAAGTGAATCGGTTAGCATGCAATAAATTATTTCAGTGATATGGATACCACACTGGGACAATTTACTTTTTCCCCCACTTGCCTGAACACCATGCCAGTCATTTGCTGCAGTCCTCAGCCAGTGGGTATCATGTTTGTCTTGTTCTTTGCCTGTCTGATTTGTCACCCCAAACAATATTCTCTCACTCCCCAAAACCCAATTGCACAGCACTAGACCTGCTCTTATCCAATCACGTGGTGCTGGAGTATTGACATGCTCATTGTGCTGCTGATGTGACTGGTTACTGGCACCCAAGAGACGAGCAAATTGGAGTTGCACATTTACAAAGATAACATGGAGCGGAAAGAAAGATCTTGATATAAATAGTCAGTTTGATGGTATGTTTGTATATATCAAATTCCTACATTAAATGTTGTAAGGGCTCACCAATGAACTTGTCAAAGTGGCATCAAAATATGGATAGTTTCAAAATTTAACTGGTGTTCTTCATTTCCAAAATTGAATGTTAACATAGAATTTCTTTGCCCTTTTCTCTTTCTTCGACCCCAGTATCTCTCTCAGCGTAATATACTTCAGTTTCTAGAACACAAAATTAATGTGGCAGTATGTGTAACCAGAGTGTTGTTTTTCATTTTTTTTAACATCTCTATAAATTTTACCTCCAATAAAGCTTTTGAAATTTGTCTGGTTTTTCAACTTCCTTATCTTGTCAATAGCAAACTTTCTACCATACATTTGCCCCTGCAACCATGTTAGATATGTTATAGGTTGTAAATAGTTGTGGCCCCAACACTGATCCCTGTAATACTGACTAGTGACTGCTTATCATCCAAAAAAAACCTAATTATTCCTGCTCCCCACTTCCTGTTTGCTAGCTGCCCGTACCATGTGTTCTGACCTTGTTTAGCAACCTTTTTAATGTGGAAATGGCATTTGACAAGATGCCACTTTATCCATCTTGCATGTTACTTCCTCAGAAAACTATTAGTTAAATACATTTCTCCCCTACAATGCCGGGGTGGGGGGTGGCGTTGTAGGAGGAGTGCAGGGATAACTCTTGCTGTCCCAGCCCCGCCAAAAGGAAAATACAGGGTTACAAGGATAAAGTAGTGGGACGGGTCTGGGTGAGATCCTTTTCAGAGGGACCGTGTTGACATGCTGGGCCAAATGCCCTGTTTCCACACTGTAGGAATTCTGTGATTTTTACAGAATTCACCCTTCAGTCTCTAACACTCCACAAAAAATAGCCCTAGCCAATTCAACCTCTCTCGAAAGCTCAAACCCTTTAACCCTGACAAGACCCTTGTAAATCTTTTCTGAACCCTCTCAAGTTTCACAACATCCTTCCTAGAGGAGGGAGATCAGAGCTGCACTCAATCCTCCAGAAGTGGCTGAACTAATGTCCTGTAGACCTGCAATTTGACCTCCCACCTCCTATATTCCAAAGCACTGACCAATAAAGGCTAGTATACAAAATGTCGTCTTCACTATCCCATCTACCTGTGTCTCCACTTTCAAGGAACTATGAACCTGCACTCCAAGGTCTCTTCATTCAGCAACACTCTCCAGGACCTTATCATTAAGTGTATAAGTCCTACCCTGATTTGCCTGTCAAAATGTAGCACTTCATATTTATCTAAATTAAACTCCATCTGCTACTCCTTGGCCCATCTGATCAAGGTCCTATTGTATTCTGAGGTAACCTTCGCTGCCCACTACACCTCCAATTTTAGTGTCATCTGCAAACTTACTAACCATACCTCCTATATTCACATCCAAACCATCGTCTAAGTATCCTGCTTTAACCACTTTTCCTTTTTGTTTTCTACGCAGAAGTGTTGAGATCACACAACCGAGCTCCTTCCCACCACCAAAATCACTGATTTTTTTTTTTAAAACTATTAACCACCAGCAGTAAAAACACCTGTGTAGCTGATTGAAGATTTACAAGCAATGCCTATTAAGGACAATGCAAAACATCAAATGTGAGGTGAAGTGGTGGTTGCTGTGTATGGAGAGCAGGAAGGGACTAAATCAAAATGGAGTTGGAGAGGGAGATAAAGCACTGTATCCCTTGCGGTGCCCACCTCTCTCTAAAGGCATCGAGAGCATTGATGGACACTGTGCTCCTATGATACCTGGGTTTGAATGTAACCATGGAAGAGGGGCAAGCAGTAGGCAGAGATGACCCCCTCCACATCCCGCTGCCTGGACCAGTATAAAGCCAGCCTAGCCAGACCCAGGAGCAAATAAAAAGAGAACGCAATTGCCCACAGCCAACATAAATAAATATGGTCCACAGCCCCACAAAATAAAGGGACTGCTGTGTGCAACACCCTCCACCTCAGGTCCCTGATGGAAACTGGGAGAATTCCCGCATAGGGAGCCATCCATTGGGGATCTTTATCTGGCAGCAAATAAGCATGCCAAGCCAAGGCAAGTCCAGTCGGTGGATGCAGGAGTCGGGGTGGATGGTGTGCAGCTTGCTGTTCGTGGTACTTTTCTCACTGCATACACACACACCACTGAAGATATTTCCTAATCAAACCATTCAGGGATGTTATTATACATCTGTGGAGTAGGTGGGACTTGAACCTAGACCTCCTTGCTCAGAGGTAGTGACCAATTACTGTATCACAAGTGCCCTTGCTCGTTCTGTGTTTCTTTTCTGTATTTCAGAAGTGATATCACACACAACCTTCCCACCATCAAATCACTGATTGTTTTGTTTGTTTTTAAATATTAACCACAACTACTAGTAAATCATGTGTAGCCAATTAGGAATTTACATGCAAAGCCCATTAGCAACAATGCAAACCAAAAATGATAGGGAGAGAGGGAAGGACCTAAACCAAAATGGAGGTTGGAGGGGCTGAGGCTGCTTTATGAGATATTTTCTAATCAACCCACTCATAATGTTTGATACTGCTCTGGAGCAGGTGAGACTCGGACCTAAGTCTCCTGGCTCAGAAACAGGGACATTACCACTGCACCACAAGTGCACCCTCTGGGTCTGCTTTATAGATACTTTCTAATCAATCCATTCAGAGATGTTATTACATACAAATCCAGACAGCTTCTGTTTTATTCTTTACATCCAAAAGTGCTACCTCACACAACAGCATGACTTTCCCATCACTAAATCAGCATCACATTTTTTTTTGGTTATAACTGTTAACTACCATAGGTAATCACCAGGCAGCCATTTAGCAGTTCACATGCCAAGCCCATAACGGACAATGCAAACCATCCAAAGTGAGGGGGGCTGTAGGGAGAACGGGAAGGGAATTAATCAAAACGGAGTTGGAAGGGGAGATAGGGCACTGAATCTCCACACCCCCACCCCCTTCCAGTTGCCAACCTCTCTCTAAAGGCATGAAGAGTATTGATGGACACCATCCAGGATAAAGCAGCCCACTTGATTGGCACCACATCCACAAGCATCCACTCCCTCCACCACCGACACTCAGTAGCAGTAGTGTGTACTATCTACAAGATGCACTACAGAAATTCACCCAAGATCCTCAGACAACACCTTGATTCTATGCCTTGCCCTTTGAACTAATGTTATTTCTCACTATTGTACTAAATGTCAACCTTAATTCTTTGCCTCACTTCCTATCTTGAAAATATCAAATACCATTCAGTATTCACGTCCCAGCCTCTGTTGACTCTGCAGTCCCAGGTCGGTGATATCAATCAGGTCAGATAGATTTACTTCGTTAGAGAGAAAAAGGTTAAGACGTGACTTAATAGAGACATACAAGATGATCAGAGGATTAGATAGGGTGGACAGTGGGAGCCTTTTTCCTCAGATAGTGATGGCTAGCACAAGGGGACATAGCTTTAAATTGAGGGGTGATAGAAAAAGGACAGATGTCAGAGGTAGGTTCTTTACTTGGAGAGTAGTAAGGGCGCGGAATGCCCTGCCTGCAAATGTAGTAGACTCGCCAACTTTAAGGACATTTAAATAGTCATTGGATAAATATATGGATGATAATGGAACAGTTTAGGTTAGTTGGGCTTCAGATTGGTTTCACAGGTTGGCGCAACATCGAGGGCCGAAGGGCCTGTACTGCGCTGTAATGTTCTATGTTCTATGTTCTATCTGTGTTAACAAAGCATTCATCCTCCAATCCAGAAACAGAAACCATGCTCACCTCAAATTCATATAATGCCCAAAAGTTTTATCATTCTTCGGTGGTGCAAATACATTTGTGATGTAGAATCCATCACTACAACTTCAAACAGCAGTTCTGGATCACATATGTTTTGTGAGCAAGCTAGGAAATTTATATGTTTTATGAGTACCAATACTATCTCTTGCTTCACAGAAAGCCAAGCATTACAAAACCAAGTGGTAAAATAGTTAACAAGAATGGAGCATTTACAGCGGGGGATTTGGTCATGCCAGTTTCCTAGGTTTCAGGTGGTGCTTTTCTTGTATAAACCTGGGCCCTGTGGGATGCCTGAAAAGAACCTTTCACAAAAGAAAACAACACACTTCACAAATAGCCACACCTCTCCAAGGAGAAGCAAGAGGTTTTGTATTGGCTACACTTGGAATTTTTAAAGAGCAGGATTTCTCAATTATTAGTGTTGGCAGTCACTGAGGAAATGAACAGCAAGGAATGAACACTATTTATTGTGAACACGCTGAAAGCTTCGCAAAGTGGAAAGCAATTCCTTAAAAATACACTGCTAAGTCGTTGGCTACAGTCTGTGAACTGCAAGCAATGTTTTCTTTCAGCACTCACCTCTCTCAGGACTCCATAGAAAGCAGGAGAAAAAACTAACAAGGAAGAAAAGCCAGAGTGACTCTGTAACAACAGTCTATTTCCCACAAATGGTGTATGTGGTATCAGCCAATGTCTGCCCAAAAATGTGTCAACTGAGGTCAAAATGATTTTTGTCTTCCAAGGATACTTGAGATGTTAATTTTCAGTAACTCCCCAGGTGAGACAGAGTTATGTGGTAACTATAACAATGGATTCACATCATGAAATTTGTGTTGACGTCTTGAGTATTTAGGCTCACACCAAAGCAGAATTAGAAGAATTCATTAATATCCTTGATGATTATCAACCCTCTCTGTTAAACTTTAAAAGCCATAACACATAGAAATCTTTACTTCCCTAGACACTGGGGAACTGGCACAAACAGCAGGCATAAGTTCATAACAGAAAGATTTTCAAATAAGTAACATGCACTTCATAAAAACAAGGAGTTAATTTGCAAGGAATTCATTATCGCATTGATTTCAAGTTTTCCTGGCTACCAGTTAGCCCAATATTTGTGGTTGACAGGTTTAAAGTATTCACACCCCTTGGTTAGCCTCCTTCCATCTTCCTGTTTGTAGCCCCTTGTATCCTCACTCAGCCACACTGTCTCCCCTAGCTACACCCTCTCCTCAGAGATACTTCCTCCTCCAGAGACTCTCTTACCCCAGACTGTGCTTTGCCCTGGCCCTCACTGGCTTTGCTACTCACCTTGTCACTGCTCCTCCAATCACTGACTGGTTCTCTCCTGTGCTTGCTGCTGATAGACTGACAAATGGGCCTAGCAGTAGAGAGCCTATCAGCACCAAGAGTGAGAGAGAAGTGACTTTGGATTGGAGAAGCACCTCCTTTCAAAAGTTCTCAGTTCCACTATACTTTTGTCTCATTGGTCATCCTCATGATTG